CAGCACGGGCACCAGCCCCCGCACCTGGAGATTCTGCCCCCACCCACTCCCCGCCCAGCTCTTCTTGCCGGCGCCTTGCGGGGCTGCAGGCACGGGTGGTGGGGCACAGCCCCTCCTGCAAGGGGCAAGTGCCAGGGATCAGCCCCACGCCTGGCCAGGGGGCTGGGAACGTGCTGTGGGGCGGCCCTGTGTGCAGCAGATGGGCCCTTTCCCCATGGCGCGGCCCTGGGAAACTTCCCCGGTTCCTGGTGGGAGCCCGACCTCGGCGACCCCCGAGCATGAGCATGTGGCCTTGCCCTGTGCCGCTGAGGCCGTGGAGAGACGGGCGCTGGAGGCAGAGCTGGGGAAAGGGGGTCTGGGGTGCTGCTGGGGCAGGGCCGGCTCCCTCCCTCCAGGGCCTGGAGCCCTTGTGCCCCCAGGCGTGGGGCGGCACAGGGGCCGAGCTCTCCCCCTCCTGGGGGCTGTATGGGGGAGTGGGGGGAGTGCTGCGCAGCCCCCCAAACCCAGGTGTCCCAAGCTGGCCCCACTCCTGCCGGGGGACGAGCAAGCGGCGCCCAGCGCCAGAGCTCCCCACCGACAGCGCCTGGGTGCCACGGCGGTGCCCAGCTGCCTGCCCCCAAGTGCCACGGTCCAGTGCCCCGCGGCACGTCTGCTCCCACCAGGCTGGGGTCAGAGCAGGAGCATCCGCAAAGCATCCTGCTGCCCCTGCTCCGTGCCCTGAGCCACCTGCGACTCCCAGCCCTGCTGGACGCGGGCGCAGGGGAGGCTGGCCAGGGTAATATCTGGGGTGGGCAGAGGGAGCTCCCACCCGTGTGTCTGCCCGGCTGGCGCTAGGCCCCGGCCAGGAGCCAGGCCCAGGCTCCCCCGTGGTCACAGACACGGGTCCCAGCCCCTCGCTGCAGCTTGGCAGGGGGGACGCGGGCCAGGCCAGGCACGTGCCAGGTGCCAGGCCAACACCTGCTCCCCCAGGGACCGGCTGGCGCAGGGCCAACCTGTGGGGACCCACCCCAGGGCTCAGAGCCGGCCGTCCTGCTGCCGCCCCTTCCCCACTGACAACCCGCAACCCGGCTCTGGCCCTGGGTGCGCAGCCGGCCGCAGCTCCCAGCAGCCGGGCCAGGCCTCCCAGCTCGGTCTCGGGGTCGCTTGCACGCTGCCCCACTCCCTGTCCAGCCCCTGGCCACCTGCCCCACGCGGCCACGAGCAGGCAGCTGACTCCTAGGAGAATGAGGGCGGGAAGGGAGCTCAGGGGGTCACATCCAGTCCACCCCCTGCTCCAGCAGGACCAGCCCCGACTACATCCTCCCAGACACGGCTTGTCTCCCGGGTCTTAAACACTTCCCGGGATGGAGACTCCCCCACCGCTGGCGCAGCCTGTTCCAGTGCTTGGCCACCCTCCTCGGGAGACAGCTTTGCCTAGACGCTCACCTCCACGTGCCTTGCTGCAGCTTGAGCCCATTGCCCCTCGGCCGGGTCTCTGCCGGCGACCCCGGGGTGAGGCGGCCTGGGGGCCGAGCGCAGAGCAGCAGAGCTCCCAGGCAGGGGCGAGGCTCCTGTCCCGGGCTGGGGGCCCAGTGCAGCGCCGACCCCAAGGCCGCCGGGCTGGGGCTGGGTGCCGGTCCCCGGCCCCAGGGGCACCGGGCCCGATCCCGCGCGGAGCTGCAGTTCGTCCGGACCCCACCGGGGGGCAGCACAGACCGGCCCCGGGCACTGCCCG